TCTAAGAATCTCAGAATAAATAATTTCAAAACAAGAATATAAAAAGAAATGTTGTATGTATCTGGCAGACACCTCAATATTGATTAAACAAACAATAAAATCAGCCTGACAGACTAATCAAAAGCCTGGAGGTTTTTTGTTTTGTTTTTTCTCTATTGGGATAAGCATTTCCATGCTCATGAAAACAACATACTTTTTAACAAAGTAGTTTATTTTTTAAAATCAGCTTTGAATGTAAAAATTATTATATCTGATCACCGGGTTGTTGTCATTGTCTAAGAATTTATTAAGCTGTTTTTTGCTCTAACTCCACACCAGGCTATGGAGCGAGTGAGAGCCCTCCCCACCCCAAGGGACCCAGCCCCGGCAGCCAACCTCCACAGCTCAACCACCACCATGCTCTAGGCTTTTTTCTGGACCAAGCCGCCGCAAACATTATAAGACAGTTCCTACCCATTTATGCCTTTCGGAGAGCCCGGCGAGCTCCCAAGAGTATCCCACCCCTTGGGCAGAGCCTGACAAGCTCCCCATGGCATATTCAATATACCAAATACAGTAATGACAATTGGTCTCATTCCCCTGACCCTGAAAGAGTCTCCAATCGTTGGGAAAAGACAAGTAAGAAGAGGTTGCTAAAATCTCGGACCTGGGAGGTATAGAGATGTTACTGGCGCCTGTTCAAGTAATATGAGGACCAACGGGATGACAGTGACACAGTGATATAGTTTTTTGCTCTGAACCTTCTTTATTATTAGTTTCGTTGCATTTAGTTGGCTTCTATGTTACTTTTCTATCTAATTTGGTGTGCTCCTAATGGAATTTCAGCACTGAGGAATTGGGAGGTGCCATGTTCCAGAGACTTCAGGATTTCTGGTCTGGGCCAATGAGTTGACATGACTGTGGGAAGTGGTTGTGGCTGCAGGGGCTTCTGGAGGTAGCTGGGCTCAAGCGAGAGGCTGCCCATTCCCATTCCCAGAAGACACCAGATATCTCAGCCTGGCCACTGAAACATCTGAAATTATTTGCAGTTTGGAGTCTCTGCAGAACATATTCATGACACAATGGAGCTGAACACTTGGCATGGCGGGAGGGGTGTGGGTGCTGCTGTGGAGACGTTTTCCTCCTGAGGATGCCCCAGGATTTTCAGCTGCAGGAACTAGTGTGTCCAGGAGTTTTATCTGCATGGCTTGCAAGTCCTCGGAGGTTTAGCAGGGAATTGGTACAGCAGGGCTGGTGGGTGACTCAATATGGTGGCAGCTGTCCAGAGCAATCACTTTAGAAACTTTTCAAATTTCTTCTAAAACATTAAGGACGTCATTGGTCATCTTATAAATATAGTTTAAAATATAAAAATAATATAGTTTTCAATACCTATCACACATTTGTGACATGACAGTCACAGTCCATATTAATTAATTGGGAATCAAGTTCATTGTAATAAAGCTGATTGTTTAAAAAATACTTTCTTAAAATGCTTTAATTAGGAATGAAATTCACAAGAATTCACATTCTCTTTAAGCTGTGCATACGCACACATTCACACATCACGCTAATGTATGTACTAGATGAGCTCTAGAGGGCACAAATATTTATTTTGCTCACTGGTATATCCCAGCACCTAGAACAATGTCTGGAATAGTAAAGGAACTCCATATGTATTTGTGGAGATAATTCTTGTGCCAAAATAAGGTATAAAGAATAAATCTCATGATAATAATGATGACATATAGACGGTTGCCAATATCATACTGCAGCAAAAAATTGTGAGTCCGAGTGAAGTTAGTCAAAACAGTAACAGAGACAGAATGACATTCTTCATATGTGGGATATAAAGAAGCATAGTGATTAAATAATAAGAGACAAAAGGCAATAGAAACTGAGTACTAGTCTTCAGAAAGAAACTTACCATGGTTAAGGGAGATTAGGGTGGATGGTACAGGATCAGAGGTGACATCAGGACAATGGTGAAGGGAAGAGGATATTCTGATAGAGGGTTGGTTGTAGAATATTTTATGCATGAAAACCTACCATTAACATTGTTTAAAATAAATGAAAAATTTTAAAAATTGGAAAATTTTTTCTCTGATATTAGGCATAACACCAATATGTCCACTCTCTCCACTATTACTCAATATAGTTTTGGAAGCCCTTAGCACAGAAATCAGACCAAAAAAAAAAAAAAAAAAAGAAAAAGAAAAAGAAAAAAAGGAAAGAAAGAAATCTAGGGTACACATAATTTGAAAAGCTAGTTAAACAATCACTATTTGAAGATGGCATGAATCAGATACAGTCCTAATATCCAGGATATATGAAGCACTCACAAAGCTCAAGAATAAAAAAAAAATGATTCCATCAAAATGTGGGGAGAAAAGATGAAGACACTTCCCAGAAGAGGATATGCAGATGGCCCAAAAAAAAAAAAATCTATGAAGAAAAGTGTCTGTCATCACTTATTATCAGAAAAATGTAAAAAAAATGACTATTGTCTCACACCAATGAAAACAGCATATATAAAAGTCTGGAAACAAATACCTGGTTAGGATGTAGTGAAAAAGAAACCTTTGTTAACTATTGATGGGAATGTTTTCTGGGTCAACTACTGTGGAAAACAGCAAAGAGATTTCTCCACAAAATAAGAATAGAGTTTCCCTATGACCTGAGGATTTCACTTCTTGATATCTTAATACACAATTATTTCTACTCAGCTAAAGAAAAGATGAAATTTTGATGTTTGCTCCAACCTGGATACAACTAGCGGTATCAAAGAGTGAAAGACAAAACCCAGATGGTCTGCTTCATCTGTGGTATGTAGACAAACAGAATAAGAGTACAGACAGTATTAAAGGCCCTCCCGTTGTTCATTGATATGCTCGAGCGGGCCCAGTAACGTCTCCATCATGAGACTTATTGTTACTGTGTCTGGCATATCGAATACGTCACGGGGAGCTTGCCAGGCTCTGCCGTGCGGGCGAGATACTCTCGGTAGCTTGCCGGGCTCTCCGAGAGGGGCGGAGGAATCGAACTTGGGTCAGCCATGTTGGCTGCGTGCAAGGCAAACGCCCTACCACTGTGCTATCCCTCCAGCAATAGCACAGTGGGTAGAGCATTTGCCTTGCACAGACAGTATTGAACAAGGAAAATCCTTGACCTTGAATTACAAAAAAGATTACAGAGAAGCAAGGGGAGAGCAGGTGAGAAGCAGATGGAGAAATGACTGAGCTGTGGTGGGTGGTGTTGGTGGTGGTGGAGGTGGGGGCGGGGGTTAGGTGGTAGTAAAGTGAAATAACTTTGCACATAAAAGTTGTAATTGATGGAACTGAAGAGTTAATACAGCAGGTAAGGAAGATGCTTGCCTTGCAAAGCTGACCTGGGTTTGATACCCAGCATCAATTTGGTCAGAGTCCCACCAAGAACAGTACCAAAGTGCAGAGCCAGGAGTAAATCCTTAACACCACTGGGTATGGCCCCCAAGTAAAAACAATAATCTTATACTCCATTATTAATTTTTCAATATTTGATAACAATACAAAAATAAACTGGCTTATTATTTAGAATGAAAATATATGTATTGTTATAATTTCAAGGCACTAATAAGTAGTAGTATTTTTAAAAATCCACTCTTCCTATATGTTAATAGCTATATGTGATGTTTTCTATGCCGAGAAACTGAGCCATCCATTTTCCACTCTCATTTAATTCCTGTGAGAGTTATAAATCAGGATATGTTGTGACATATTTAATAGGATGGCTGATTAATTAACTCATTAAACTGTAGCATATGTAAATTTCAATGCATTGCTTAAGCCAAAAGTTTCTCTCAAAAACCTTTAATCTCACTGGTAAATCTTCAGTGTATGTTCTACTTATTCAAAAAGGAATTAAGTCATTAGTTTTAAAAGGGAAAATAAACATCTCCAAAGATAAATGTCACTATATCCATTAAACAGTTTACTGCAAAGCTTGCTGACCAACTTGTCAAGCAGTGGAGAAAGAGAACAGAGCACTGTGTCCTCAGAACTAAAGAAAAAGAGGTATGACAATGGTAATATTGATGATAAAAATGTGCTTTAGTGGTCCCCAAATGGAAAAAAAATAGTATCTTCTCAAGAGGTTAGATATACTCTGACAAGGAATAGTTATTTGGGGTAATTTAGGGAAAAAGTAATTAGGAAAAGTGAAAAATAAACAAGTTTAGATTGTGAAAAAAAAAAAAGAATAGCAACATGATAAAATGGACCATGGCCTTTATATTTACAGACTGAACTTATTTTGTTTAGCCTATGGCAAGGTGATGGGAGATGTAGAAAAGGGCAGGTGGGTCCCTACTCCAGTGTGAAAAGCAAGTCCTCTAGGCTTGCAAAGCAATGATCATAGGACATCCCCAAAGCCATCTTTCTAAATCAATGGTCTGGGAATACAGATTTTCAGAGAGAATGCCAAAGACCTAAAATTTGACAATAATAAGAAATTTAACCTTTAGTTGTTGTTGTTTTGTTTGGGGCCATACACAGTGGCTCAAGGTTTACTCCCTTCTGCATTCAAGGATCACTACTGGTGGTGCTGGGGGACCATATATGGTGCCAGTGATCAAACTAGGGTCAGCCAAAGCAAAGCATGAATCTTACTGTGCCATCTCTCTGAGACCACATTCAACTCTGAATAAAAGAAGATACAGTTGGTAGAAATTTACTTTATTAAAAAGGAAGGATGCTGATTCTGATTCAAGCTAAAATTTAATGGTACTTTTGTTAAAACATAAACTTCAGCCATACCCTGAAAAAGAAACATTATAAAATGTATAAGATATATCTTTTCATTATTTCTTTTAACATTCCATGGAATAGTGACCTATATTATGCTGATTGTTCTGTGCCTGTGGAGTGATAATCCATCCTTGTACACGTGAAATTTAAACACTTTAGAATGAAGGTTGAACATGAGATTTCAATAAAGGCAAGTTAGAAGACTAAAACTAAGAATATTAAAAACAGTTCATCATACTTGAGGAGAAGCAATTTTTTTATTATATAAATGACAATCTCAATAGGAATATAAATTAGGTACATAAACTGATTATAGGATATTTACATCCAAATATTCCAGTAATAAGCAATTTAAATATATTCAGTAAAACAAAAATTTAAGATGTTATGTGTATCTACATTTGGGCAATATAAAAAAAATGAACAAAAACAAGAATTGTGCTTGCCCATTCAATAACTCACCAAGATTTGCTAACAATCCCCACAAACTGAATTCAGCAACAGAACAGTGGTTCAAAGAACATTGTGTTCTTTGAACACAAACGGTAAAATCCTATGGATTGTGCTTTAAATAATATTGTTTGAGGCAATTGATGTAAGAAGTATGATCAAGATTCATAATTGCACAAATTTGAAGGGCCTTACACATGCCATTGCAAATTCCACTGTCATCATAACTCACAAAAAAGTGTTTGTAATACTTCATAAACTGCTTACTGTCTTGGGTGGCAAATTGTTTAGCTAACCCATACAAACTTTTGGGCTGCAAATCTTCAATGTCATAAGTCTTGGTTAGGACATACTCCAAGGTCCAGTTGGCATCTCCCTTTAGATTAGCATCTGTCAGGTTCAAATAATACTGCAACATATCCTGTAGTTAAAAAGAGTAACAAAACCAGGTTTATGTTTCTTTTGTTTCATTTTTTCCTCCCTGAGGGGGTATCTCCCACATAATGTCTCCGAAGCATTTTTTATGTCCTATAAATCAGGTGTTTTTTTTTTAAATTTTATTTGTTAATTGAACGTCGTGAGATATATAGTTATAAAGATGTTCATGATTTTCAGTCATTCAGTGTACCAACACTCGTCCCTTCACCGGTACACATTTCTTACCACCAATATCCCCAGATTCCCTCTATGAGCTCCCCACATTACACTGCTATCGCACTATCACAGACATATTTGCTCTCTCTCTCTCTCTCTCTCTCTCTCTCTCTCTCTCTCTCTCTCTCTCCCCCCCTCCGTCCCTCCCTCCCCCTCACTCTCACTCTCCCTCTTACTTTTCTTTCCTTTTAGGCACTGTGGTTTACAATACTGTTACAGAAAGGGTATCATACGTATCATTTTACCCTCTTTCAGCACTCAGGTTTTGTCCAGAATGATAGTTTACAGCTATCACTGTCATAGTGGTCCCTCCCTGCCTTAACTGCACTCCTCCTGAACCGTTGTTAAGTGTTACCTAATACTACAGTAAATGTATTTTGCTGTATATTTTATGTACAAAATAATTTATAAATTTTAGCAGATATTGATTTACTACCATTTTTAGTAAAAAGAGTATGCATAGAATATATAATATCTATTTACAATATGTTTGATTTTTTAAAAAATTTAAATCGTTCTATACAAACTATTTTCACTCTTAAAAATTCTTTAATGTTCTTGTTAAGTGAAATGACTCAAAGAAAGGGATAGACATAGAAAGACTGCATTCATCTGGGGAACATAAAGTAATAAAATAAGAGACTAACACCCAAGAATGGCCGAGATTAGTACCAGGAATTTTACTCCATGGCTTGGAGGTCAACCACTCATGCTAGGGGAAAAGGGAGCTCAGATAGAGAAGGGAATACCAAATAAAGGGTGTTGGAAGGATCCTCCCAGGATGGGAGAAGCATGCTGAAAGTAGACTATAGACGAAACATGATTGTCACCCATTGCCTCTTTTGCAAACCACAACACCCAATAAGAGAAAGAGAACAAAAAGGAATGCCCTGCCACAGAGGCAGGGTGGGATGGGGGGCATGGGGGGTGGGAGGGATACTGGGATCTGTGGTGGTAGAAAATGGGCACTGGTGGAGGGATGGGTATTTGATCACTGTATAATTGAAACCCAAGCACAAAAATTTGTAAGTCTACAACTGTACCTCATGATGTCTCACTAATAAAAATGAAAAAAAAAAATTCTTTAATGTTCTGACCTAGAGATGGAACTGCAAGTCAGGTGCTTGCCTTGCACAGGGCCAACTTGGTTTCTATTCATGACTCTGCATATGGTTCCCCCAAGCCCCACCAGAAATATCCCTGAGCACTGATCTAGGACTAAACCATGAACACCACTAGATATGGCCCATATTTTTTAAAAAATATTGAATGCTAGCTTCAGAAAATGGACCACTGGCCAATTTCCCCTTAAAGATTTAAAGTGGTAAAATCTCTAGGGGGTAATATGATATAGGCAGGTAGATAAGGAAAGGCCCTGGACAATGAAACAGGCCAGCAAAAATTCTGGAAAGAAAATTCCAAGGCTGATCCACTTTGTGGATACAGATAAGACCTTGAGCAGTGGACCCTGAGGAGACTGGACCCCTCCCCATGAAGGAAATTCCTTGAATTCCCTCGGACCTCTCCTTCAATCTGATTAACTTTAGTGATTCAGCCCAAAGAAGACCATCACCACTCCCAACCCTCCTGGTAACCTCCTTAGTAATGGACTTTTACCTGGGAAGAAGGCCCAGGTGGGGGCAGGTTGGAGAAACCCTATAAAGGCCACCTTGAACATAGGAAGGGCACGCAAATGCTGCCCGAGCCCATGTGCTGCTTGTGCCCACGTGGCCAAGCACATGTGTCGCTCACGTCTCCCCTCTTGAGAGGTGTACTTTCATGCTTTCGTGTCTAATGCTAGAATGTGTGTAGGGGCTCTCTCGGACCTTGGAGAACCGTGTGTTCTCTCTTGTGTCTCTCTCTCTCTCTCTCTCTCTCTCTCTCTCTCTCTCTCTCTCTCTCTCTCTCTCCCCTCCCCCTCCACAATTTAAAAACCATCCAAATAAAATCTATTTGCTTCAAAAAAATTAAAAGGGGCTGGAGGAACCTGGGCCAGTCACGTGCAAGGCAAAATGCCCTACGCTCTGTATACTATTACTCCCACTCAACATTTTTCTAAGAACCATATGTAGTTTTCAGAAAAACTAGATGAAATTAGTAACATACAAATTTCCATTACACAGTGAAATATACTGGAACAAGATTTGGCAATACAATCCAAGAAAGAAGATGGTTTCAAAGTATACAAATTTTATTTTTTAGCTATCTCTTAAAGAAGAGTAATTAATAAATATATGGTTACTGAATATTCTACGTATATAACCAACTCCACAAACACAGCTCCATAAAAACAAAACAAAGCACACATACACAAAAACAACAGTTCAATGAAGACTTCATCTAAATAAATTAGAATATTTAGAAGAACCAAAGCAACTTCCTATGCACTGGCTTAATCAGTTCCCACTCTGAAAGTCCCTATATTCCAAACATTAAAAGACAAAAATACACCAATATATTTTAACATAAAATATAAGTTAGGAACATTTGTTTAGACTGATGAAAACTACCAAAAAAACATAAATGGGGGTTAATTATAAAATTGCACAACTTACCAATAATTTATAATCATGGGGGTCATACTGAAATAGCCTGATACCAGGATTATTGGTTTGTTTTTCCAAAACACTCTTTACTGGGGTAATAGCAGGAGCCACAAACAGAGAACTTGTTGGACTTCCTAGACAAAACATGTACAGAAAAATTATATTTTTAAAACACCAAATCAACTATATTTATAATATAAATTACTTCCAGATTTTACTGCCAAATGATGTATGATCATTATGATGTATTGAACTGAAAAAAAGTTTAAAGATATAGCTTTGAGATTTCCTTTTTGGAAATTTTTGTTATGAACTAATAGAAGATACTAGGTTAGTTCATGGTATTCTATGTAGGTTACATAAATATTTGAACAAAACTTATAAAAATATATAGGACTGAAAGATCTGATGTTTGAAATTCACTTTGAAATACTTCAGTAAAAAAATAATTAAAAAAATGAATAGTTGAAGAAAATGTGGAAAAATCTTAATATGTTTAATATAAATAATAACACATGGAGTTTATCATTCTTTTATGCATTTTTTAAAACTTTATAATAAAAATTTCAAACAATTACAAGTATTTCTCAAAATAAAAAGCTACTTTGTTTCCTATCCTAAAAAATATTCTAATATAAAATTTGATTAAAGTATCCTTATAATTTTTACATAACATTATAAAGCCACCTTATTATAAAGTCACATTTCTTTTTGAAAAAACTATCAGATGCTAGAAATGGTCATACTTAGTAAATTCATTCTAGGTGAAAAATATAAATGATATTTAAAGTGTGTATCTACTGAAATTTTCATTTTTCTCCTGTTTGATTATTAGAAAATAGGAACTTTTGTTGTCAAATTTTTCTCCCTAATACATAAATAACATTAAAAAATAGAGAAGTAGATAATATTTTTTTAAAATTTCTATTTTGTATGATACTAAAACTTTTCTAATTTTTTCTTTTAATAGTGAATATCAGTAGATACTTAAAAAACTGGATTTATTTTAAAGGCAAACTGTGCTTTACTCTTTAAATTCTGAGAAATAAAACAAGTCATATTAAAGGAAATTTGAGTAGAGCAGGTAAATGACAACCAATATAATGAAAACTGAGTGAGCTAAGGCTTTTACGATGACACAACCAGATGATGGTGACCCTACGGGGCAGGAATAAACCCAATTACATGCTATGATTTGGACACATGCTAAACAACCACTGCAGGTAGTTTAGGACAGGTAATTCAGTGACATGCTATCACTGACAGGTTCACTTTTCATTGACTGGATAAGTGAAAATAATTCAATATTCATGTCTTTGCTCAAGAAAATGAAGTCAATACAAACAAGTCACATTACCTTTTCCATCTGAAAGAATCATAATACTATCTCTGTGAGTGTGCCCATAAAATTGTCCTGAGATAACATCACTGTATTTTCTAAAAATTTCTATCAATTTTTCATTGTAATTTTCTCTCATTGCTGTAGTGCCCCTCGAATAGGGCAGATATCCCACTGGAACATGGGCTATGATGTACACCTGGAGAAAGAAAGACAAGGAGAACTAATAAAAATCCACTTGCACATTCACTATAATTAGTGACATTCAAACACTCAAGATTAAAATCATAGGATTTAAAACTCAAAAGTTTAATATACCATATATCCTTGTAATAGCCATTAAAAGAATAATTATAAAACTATTAATATCACCGTATACGTTCTTGTCTCATTTGAATGACACTTGATGATATAAAATAATTATGGCATTGATGATATGAAGTAGTTATGACAATTTTTTCATATCAGACTCACTTCACACCAACAGATGTTAATCAGTCCTCAAATAATTCAAATCAAAACAACATAAAAAACTATGAATAATAGAAGAAGAAATGTAAGAACTTCATGTAAAAATATCTTCAAATTTTACTGCATTTATTAATACCTGGCTGCCCTCAGATTGAATAAATCCTCTTACTTCGCCCTGTTTATCCCTTGATGATTTGGCTCTATAAGATCTACCTTCTCCTTATTTTGCTGAGAGATGTTCAGTGTATTTTCTAGCCATTCAAATTGATTTGCTGGGTCAGTCTTATTCAGTGTCACAATATTTGGGCCGTAGTACAAATTTGTATTTAGACTGATGATCCTAAGGTTCAAATTAGGATTCACTTTCTGTGAGTAAAAGCCACCTATAAAAACAAATTAAAACACATTCCAAAAAAAAATCAGATATGCAAGCACTGTGAAAATAAATTTCTTATTAAGGTCTACAAGCCAATCAGAAAGATTGTTTCTTACTATCTCATTTGCACAGGTATTGGTGTCATTACATAGGAATCAGGTTTTAAAATGGATATTGAAAACCTCCTATGGGTCAGCTGCAAAGCAGATTTCTCTATATACTGAAGTAACAACTGTTATATCCAATTAGATTAAAAAATAATTAAATGTTCAGCTCTAGGTGAGCAAGTATTGAATTTCATCAAAGAAACGTCAATAGTACAACCACTTTCACTTTCATCTGATTGTGGAGTTTAGAATGAGAGATACTACAAAACATATCTAGAGGAGAGGAACTTGGCTCTTGTCAGACTACGGAGGAAGAAACGTCAGCTACAGGGCCAGAGAGATGGGACAGTGGGTAAAGTGCTTGCCTTGCATGTACCTGATCTGGATTTGATGCCTAGAACACACATCTGGGCCCCCAAGCCAGTTAGGCATGACCTCTGAGCTCAGAGCCTAGAGTAAGCCCTGAGCACAGTCAGATGTGGCAGGAGCAGGGGCATGGGGGAGAGCTGGAGAGAGAGACGGAAGGAAGGAAGGAAGGAAGGGAGGGAGGGAGGGAGGGAGGGAGATGAGGCAATATAGAGGAAACAGCAGTGACAGCCCTGAGTATCTGCTGCCAGGCTCCTTTCAGAGTCAGTCACTGAGGCGGCCCTGCTTTCCTTTTTTCCCTTCTCAGGACCCATACCATTCAAGATTTCACACAGGACTGATGGTCTACAGAGAAATGATTTAGAGGGTCTCCAAAATTAACATGCTCAGGAAATATTAAAGATCTAAGTTCTGAAACCACAGTATAGCGTGTAGGACATTTGCTTTGCATGCGGCTGACCTAGATTTGATCTCCAGAATTCTATATGATTTCCTGAGCACCACCAGGAGTAATTCCTGAGTGCAGGTCCAGGAGTAACCCCTGAGCACCATGAGGTGTGCCGAAATACAACAGCAAAAAAGATCTAAGTCCAGTAAGCAAGATTAAAATGGAGATAAAATGAGGCTGAGTATATCTTTCACATACCTTTCTTGATAGTAGCAATAGCTTCTTCATCCAACCACGGTTTCCAGAGGTTTGCTACTGCCTCATACACCCTGCTGGTGTCAACAGGCAGCTGATCCTGATCACAAACAAGATAATCCACCCTTGAAATTTAAAGCTATATATAATAATTATTTTAAACATTACTTGTGCGCTCACAACTGGTAGGATTCTGGACATGCAAGGACGAAAACTACGTAGACTTAAAAATTTAAGAACTTATTACTTACTTGGGGAGACAGTGAAAGTAAGACAATGAGCTAGTACTACCTCAGAGGTTCTGGGAGGATACAAGGAAAACCTACCCAAGCAGGAGAGCATTTGAAAAAGACCCTGAAGAATAATTATATCAGACTGACAAGAAAGAGCATCAGAATACAAACTGATCCAGAAATGAATTCCACAAAGCACTTCCTTTGGCATGTAGTATAGATTTGGGATCACATGAAAATAACTCTAGGTTTTTTCTCTTTAAAACTTGAAAAGTAAAAGCACCTGAGAAGCTAGAGTATTTATCCAGAAACTGTTGCTTAGTCCCAGAACTAAGTTTGGGTCTTTCCATCAGTAGACAGAGGAGAAATGCACAATTATCTATTGCATCATGCTATTGTCCCATCCCTTTTTGGAGCTGTAACACGATCACTGAAGTGATCATAATCAATGACATGCAATGGATTGGAAAATCTCCCACCCATTACTTTGGTAGCATAAATCTTGCCAGTGTAGGAGTAAATAAGGACCCTGGCCCAGACTGCTTCCTTGCATGGCAAATGGAAGGAATCCCTGTGCTGCCCACACTCGTATTACTTCTGATGTAATGGGTGGGGACATGTCTTTGATTGTCTGTTATAAATTTAGCTCATGTGGCTAAATTTATAACAGATATGTGGGATTTTATGGAAAAATAACACATACCATATTTATCTTCTACCAACATCAAAATTCTGTTAGATATCATTCCCCAGGAGAACTGTTGGACTTTCACATCACATTTGAAATGGGGGTGGAAAATATGGCAGTCCAAAAATAGAAATTTTTCAGATAAAAATTCAAACTTGAAAGAGAAAATGTTAACTATTTAAGGTATAGCTAATAGCTGCACATATAAGAGGATATATTTTAGAAGTTAGATGTTAATATCTTTTAATTTACAAGATTTGATTTCACCAAAAGAAGACTGAGCTACAAATAAAATAAAACATGTCTTCAGGGGAGTTAGGAAAAGTTTATCTAGAGTCACACTTCTTGTCGTAAAAGCCACCACCTCTCTGATTGAATGATCATGTACCAGGTAGGAAGTTGAGGCCTTTCATGCAGTATCACAAATGAATGACATATGAATCAGGGATAATAAGTTAATTACACGTTACTAAAGTTACTAGAAGTAGGATTAAACAAGGATTTTATTTGAACTCCTATAACAATAACTTTAAACCCATCTATCTGCTTGTCACCAAAAGCATTTAAAAACAGTGTGTGTAATTTTTGGCTCCAGAGACGGTTCTTCCCCCAGCCTTTGCTCTGCGTGGTGCAATATATCCACAGCAATAAAAGTTAACCAACAAAAGTTAACCAATGATTAAAAAGCTGACTCACAACAACTCATAGATTGTTTATCTCAAGAGTATAGACAGTGCCAAGAACTCGGGTGAAATTTAAGTTCATCCTTTTTAAAAATCACAATACTCAGGCTAGATGAATGATATGATGAAATTTTGGCCACCGCCCATAGTTGTTTTATTTACTGAAAAAAACATAGTATCTGAGATCTTTTGGATCTGCAAAAATTTAAGACTTTTTATTCCTATAAATGACCTTTTAAGCATGTCTGGTATCCAGTCTTTATGCACAGAGTGCTTATTACACTGTCACTCGGGCTAGAAACTTGGCTATACCACGGATTAAATTATTACAAACACAGACTCTTGAATCATACCTGACTTAGATAAATTAGGTTTGAACATGAACCTCCCTCTTTGGTTCTCAAGATGCATTTTTGTTTTTCATAATATTCTAGCTTGCATCAGAGTGTGGGTAGTTTTTGTATGCCTAATAGAAATTCTGAAAAATTTAAATAATCAACACTGAATTTTCTTGCTACACTATCATGGAAATGTGAATAAACAATATAATGATTCAAAGGAAGTAAAAATTAAGGTAGAAAATGAAGAAAAACAGGAAAAATCAATACTAAGTAAACTTACTTCCCCCAACTAGCTTACAACTTTTATGAACTAAGGAGTCATTTAAAAAGAATGAAATATTTTCTGCTTTCATCATAAATGGTATTCAGAGTATACTCTGCTTCCATAAGCCTACATGTATGCCCTACTTTTATGTAATTACTAATTTTGGCACTACTGATGGGAAAAATCCTTTAAGGACTTCCTAAAGATAAAAATGATATTTACCTGTGGCCAATAGTCATGATTCCCCAATGCAGGGAAAACCTGGAGCTTTGGGAAAAGATCCTGGATTATGGCTGTCATGTTAGCAATTACAGTAATGACAATGTCTGTTGAGAGTTCATGCACAGGAACATGGGGTGGACTATCCCTTGAAAAGAGACAAAATTGAAGAAAAAATTAATTTCTCTAAACTGCATTTTTGCAGATGTCGATCAAAAAAAAATCAAACCATAATGTTGGTTAAAAGAACTCCCAGACAATCCTAGAGAAAATGAAGGTTGTGTTAAACAAAAGATAAACTAGAAATCTCACCCATTTCATGGCAAGGCTAAAGATTTATGAGAGATGAAAAACTGTCATAATTAGAAAACACTGATTCAAGAGCCAAAATAACTTGGATTCAATGGCAGTCATTTATTATTCATTACTATGTATATTTGGCTAGACAAGTTATTTAGGTGCTCAGTGCCTTTACTTTCTCATATACAAAATGAGAATAGTAATATCTTTTATAAAGATTAACTGAGCTACAATATGTAACTAAACTATAATGAGTAATGGTGATGATTCCAGATACAAGAAATGTAGCTTCATCCCTCTACCATTATGGATGGAATTAGTTACACTAATTTGAGTATAAATTAGTATAGCCTCAAAGAAGGAACAGTGGTACCAGTTAACTTGTGACATCAATTGGTGATATTGATGGTAACTAATAATTTGCTAAACTATTTCTAGTTTATCTTTTGTTCAACACAACCTTAGTTTTCTCTAGGATTATCTATGGGAGTTCTTCTAACTAATATGATAGGTTGTTTTTTGTTGTTGCTTTTTTTGGACAGAAATCTGCAAAACTTTAGTTTACAGAAACCGATACTGTTAGAAAGAAAATTCAGTGTTGATAGTTAATAATTAATAAATTATTTTAAATTAATAAAAATTTGGGCTGGAGCGATAGCACAGCAGTAGGGCGTTTCCCTTGCAGAGCCAGGTTCGATTCCTCCACGATTCCTCCTCCCCTCTCAGAGAGCCCGGCAAGCTACCGAGAGTATCTCACCCACACAGCAAGCTACCCGTGAGGTATTTGATATGTCAAACACAGTAACGACAAGTCTCACAATGGAGATGTTACTGGGCCTGCTCAAGCAAATCGATAAACAACAGGACAGTGCTACAGTGCTAATAAAAATTTATTTTCACATGAGTAAACTTAATGTGAAAGGACACTGATAAATGTGTTCCTTTTATGGATTTACCTTTTAATTTACAACAACTCAGTTCCAGAATCTGTATATTTTTTTAAAAATTACCCAAAATTCTAAAATCTTTATTTTTTATAACATTAATTTGACCTACTATATTTTAAGCCAAAAAGGTTTTAAAACATAACCTTCTGATGGAACTCAGCGTCCTACTGAAGCTTAGCACACTGTAGATAAATACTGAGCAATAATATTTATATGATCACTTACCCAGTCCAGATCATAAAAGATGCATCTTGTTCTAAATTTTTAATAAACTCAAATGCTGATAAAATAAGTTGATATGGAGAATCACAGAGAACATCTCCAAAAGGTCCAGGATTAGAAGCTTTGGCTCCTTTCGAAGAAGCACACACTTTTTTGTGGTCGTCTGTGAGGTGGTAAGTGGGGTCCAAGTGTAAATCAGTCACATGCCAAAACTGCCCTGTAGATTAGAAAAGAAACACTGTTATGTCAATTTCACTTTTGAAATTCCCAAGCAAATATTTAAAGTCATACTAGAGACAGTCATTCTTCCCTATAAGGAGGAACGTCTTAGTAATTTAACAGTTCATGACTACCAGGGCTGGAGAGACAACTCAAAGGGCTGAGTTCATGCTTTGCAAACTGGAGGTAGGTTCCATCCAACGTGTCAAATGTTTCCCAAGCAGTAATATCAGGATTGACTCTTCCAAGCATCACTGGGTGTGACCTCCCCCAAACAAACTAAGCAATTGTTCAAAACAAAACAAAAATTGCTCATGTGCTCTGAAGTCAAATAAAATTCTTCCCTGTGAGAGGATTAAGATTCCAAGAATAGGAGGGAGAATTTGCTATTTACATGTGTCAGATGTTATGAACTCAGTGCTGACATGACTACCTAACAAAGAGTACAAAACATGAATTTGCATAATGAATTGTATGGAGACATTCTTCTGGGAGAGCAATAGTGATGTCATCTTGTGTCTTACTTACTACCATGTATCCTCCCTTGCAAGTCTTTAAGGTTTAAAAACCTACTTATATTATTTTTATATTAAATTGGTCTAAAAAATGTAATATAACTTATTAGGGCTAAAAAGTGAGATGACTGTAGTACCAGAACCAAGAAAATTCTAGAGCTACTAATTAGTTATAAAATATTGCCTTTCAGAATTGTGGAAAGGTAACATAAATCTATCACTCGAGTGGTCCCAATAACGTCTCCATCGTGAGACTTGTTACTGTGTTTGGCATATCTAATATGTCACGGGTAGCTTGCCAGGCTTTGCCGTGGGGGCGAGATACTCTCGGTAGCTTGCCGGGCTCTCCGAGAGGGGCAGAGGAATCGAACTCGGGTCAGCCATGTTGGCTGCGTGCAAGGCAAACGCCCTCCCACTGTGCTATCGCTCCAGCCCTATATATATTTATATATATGTATATCTGTGCATCATTGGGTATGACCCAAAAAGCAAAAAAAAAAAAATGTTCAAAATGAATAAAAGAGTGTGATATTAAGTGTTAGTCTAAATTATATTGAGGAAAAAATAAGCAGAACTTTTTATGAAGCTGGATCTAGAGACCCCAATGCCAATGGTTGTTTTGTTTTGTTTTGTTTTTACATTTTGGGTCACACCCAGTGATATTCAGGGATTACTCCTGACTCTGCACTCAGGAATTACCCCTGGTGCTTGAGGGGCCTTATAGGTTACTGGGGATCAAACCTGGATCACCTGAGCAAGGATAACACCCTACCCGCAAGGATAACACCCTACAGCTGTATCACGGAATGCCAATGGTTAAACAAACAAAAATAAAAGTAAACAAATGATAGGGCACCAAATTAATACATTTCTGCACTAAAAAAGAAATAACTAAAATTAAAAAGACACCCTGTGTACTGGGAAGAAAATATTTGCTCACCACATCTAGCAAAGTATACTGACATCCACGATACAGAAAAGCACTTGCAAAACTTAATAACAAAAGTAAAGAGCTCCCAAAATAGAAAGAACTGAACATTTCCTCAAAGATATACAGATAGCCAATAAGTATATGAATAAAGACTCTCCATCACTTATCATCAGGAATAAGTAAATTTGAACAACAATGAGATATCACCTCATACCAGTGAGACTGGCACACATCAGAAAGAGTAGAAACAATGTGTTGGTAGTAATGTGGAAAAATTCGAACCCTAATTCATTGCTAATGGAAATGTCATGTGGTATAGCATTTATAAAAAACATTATGGAAAAATTGTAAGAATTTTCAAAAAAATAAGAATTGAGCCTTCATATGATATAACAATTTTAATTTTTAGCATTTCTTTCAAGAGTTTAAATATGATACTTTGAAAAAGATATTTGCATACTTATGATTATTGCAACATTAGTCACACTAAAGTCTAGAAACAACCCAATTGCCCAAGAACAAGTGAGTGGATAAAGAAACTATGACATATATATATATATAGATATATAAATATATATAGGGCTGGAGCGATAGCACAGTGGGAGGGCGTTTGCCTTGCACGCAGCCAACATGGCTGACCCGAGTTTGATTCCTCTGCCCCTCTCGGAGAGCCCGGCAAGCTACCAAGAGTATCTCGCCCCCACGGCAAAGCCTGGCAAGCTACCCGTGACATATTAGATATGCCAAACACAGTAACAAGTCTCACGATGGAGACGTTATTGGGACCACTCGAGCAAATCGATGAACAACGGGAGGAGAGTGATACAGTAATAGGGCTGGAGCGATAGGGTTGGGCGTTTGCATTGCACTCAGCCAACATGGCTGACCCGAGTTCAATTCCTCCGCCCCTCTCGTAGAGCCCGACAAGCTACTGAGAGTATCTCGGCCGCACGGCAAAGCCTAGCAAGCTACCCATGACATATTCAATATGCCAAATACAGTAAAAAGTCTGACAATGAGTAACATTGCCCAGTAAGGGCCCACTCGAGCAAATACAGATATATATATACATATACATATACATATATACATATATGTATGTGTATACATATGTATATATGTGTGCATATATACATATGTGTGCACACACACATATATATCCATATATATATATATATATATATATATATATACCAAATAGAAGACTATAAGAAATGGTAAGATCATACAATTTGCTGCTATATGGATATAACTTCCTTACTACTGTGTGAATAAGTCAGAGGAGATAAACAAATATAGAATGACAACTCTCTTCATGGTCTCTCTTCATAGTCTCTTTATAGTGAAATATGAAGAAACACCAAAAATGAATAATAATGACCAATGGTAAAGAATTTTGAGAGTTGAACTACAAAACTAAGTATACCAAGGGAATAGGGTTTATTGGATGGGACCTAGAAACATTAGTAGAGAGATACTGACACTCTGGTGATGGGTGTGAAGTTAAAGCATTGTATGCCTAAATTAATAATTGTGTTGCAACTAGCAATGCCTAAATAAAAATTGAGACAAAAATAAATTGCTAAGGGTTATTAATGGCACTTAATATAGTTAATTTTCTATCAGTTTCATAAAACATTAATAATATTAAAGAAAAACATGTGTTAAAGAGGATATTTTCATTGATTGGATTTTCAAGAGTAAATCAGAACCCATTTGTTCACATCCCTTTTTGAGAGAACTTTGGGATGGGGGTGGGGCCAGCCCAGAAGAAATTCTTAGTACAAATATTTACTATAGTATGTTATTTATTAAGTATTAACTATGCATAAAGCATTCTGAAGGAAATTTAAAAATACTATGTCCTTTCACTCTGATAATTTTCTGAAACAGAATTCATGTTCAATTTATACTTGAAACACAAACTCTAGATAAAATAGGAAATTTGCTATTAACATTTAATAAGTGGTAGTTAAATTCTAAATCTCCATTTTGAAAGTCCTTTTGGATTTCTTAGACATCATTTACAAATATCTTTATTTTTCTGCCTTCCTAATGCAATGAATAAGTTATGTTACAATATTTTCACACTGAGGGGGTATGGTGCCGCTAGCAGGTCAATCTGTACCTGTGAGGCGAGTGTATCAGTAGCCTGATGGCGCCTTCAGACTTCCAGATACCCCCAAATTTCTGCTGTGCTTTTGGCCAGACCCCAAAAACTTGGGACTAAGTTTACCAAGAAAGTAAAAGGCCAAAAGTTATGTGGGAAACACACCCACAAACCACCTTCGGCTCAGCTATATAAATGGAGGCATGGCCTCTCTGGTTCCTGATCAAACTGCTTAATGGCCATGATCCCAGAGAATCAGAAACAAATCTCAAAACCCAGCTGCTTTTGGCAGAAATGCATCCGGACCCCGCAGTACTGTCGCCGGGCCACCCCAGGGGGGAAAATGTGCTGTCCCTCTGCCTGCCCCCCCTTGGCAGCTCGGTGGCCACCATCCACCAGAGGCCATTGGACAATCAGGTTTGGGCCTGCAGTGAAGAGACACTCAAGGCCTCATGGGATAGGTGTGAAGCAGGCCCTTTCCCTTCCACCCCAACGAGACCCTGAGTCACCGCCCAGGAACAGCCTTTCTGGCTCCTGATCAGGAACAAATCTCAGAACCCAGCAGGTTTTAGCAGAAGTCCCTCCAAATTTAAAAATGTTAAAATTTCGGAATTTCAAAATCACGTGACCACTGCTGCAGCCACGCAACATCATATGTTATTCATAACCAGCAATAGAAAACAAATTGTCTACTGTTGCCTTTTCAGCATGTTGGGGTAAAATCCCAAATAATAATGGTGGGCCTGGTGTCAAAATATTGAATGTAATCAAAGTAGAGAGAGAGAGAGAGTAATGTGGAAATCATCTGCCCCACAGGTAGGGGGAGAGTGTGGGATGGGGATATACTGGGGTTTTTGGGGGTGGAGAATGGGCACTGGTGAAGGTATGGGTGTTTCATTGTATGACCCAGATTTAAACCCGAAAGCTTTGTGACTGCTCTCATGGTGATTCAATAAAGAAAATTACAAAAAAAAAAAAAAATGGGGAAAAGAAAGTAAGGTGGAGTGTTAACTAGAATTCATCTGCCTCGCAGGCATTGGGAGGGGTGGAGGGTGGGGTTTTATTGGGGTTCTTCGTGGTAAAAAATAAGTATTGGTAAAGGGAAATGTGCTTGATATTTGCATGACTGAGACCTAAACCTGAAAGCTTTGTAACTTTTCCCACAGTGGTTCCATAAATAAATAAATTTAAAAAAAAAAAAGTAAGGTGGAGTTCATGCCCAATTCAATCAGCTAATCAGTGGCTGAATAGCAGTACTCCTACATAAAAAAAAAAAAAATTCACACTGAATTTTAAACTCTTTCTGATCATGACTGTAACTTGAGAAACACGACATCCATTTTGTCAGAAGCATGGAATAAATAGAATTAAACATCTATACAATGATCATTAAAGCTAAGTATTAAAGCTAATGAGCAAACATTTCAATAAAACCTAAAGTGAGAATAACAATGTAAAAAAATATTACAGTTAAATTGTTATCATGGAAATAGTGACTGATATCTGAGTTGCTTATGAAGTTGTTATAATCCTTTAACATGATTAAATTCACAGATAAGGAGTGGTAAACAAAAGAATCAACTATGTGATCAATTACTTGGTATTTACTCATCACCCGAAGCATTTGCTCAATCATTTATTTCATTTTTTAACAGAGGAAATATTAGACAAGCTTTATCCAGTACATAAAAGGGAAAAGGCAATAACTCAATCATCCTAGAGACTGCCCTTCTTTAAGGTTGAAATATATAGTGACTCTCATTTTATGTAAGCATATGTTTTATTAATTGTAAAACTTCAATGAACAGAACAGTATAGTTTTACGGGTTATGAGTGAAGAAATAGACTGACTTTGAATCCAAGTTTCATTTACTAATCTAGCTGTGTGATCGTGGCATTTGTAAAAAATGAAAGAAAGAAAAAGAAAGAAAGAAAATAATAATAGAGCCAACTGCATGAGAGATGAATGAATAAGTAAAACTATTAAGTTTTACTTTAAACTACTAAAGTAAAACTTTAAAGCTATGTTATCAAAAAGAAAAAAAATGTCTAGGGAGAGGGCTCAAAGGACTGGAAGGCAGGTTTTGCATGCGAGGCCAAAATTAGAAAGATTCCTGGCACTGCTATCTGGAGGAGCCTCTGAGCATTACCTACACGTTCTCCCTGGCCCAGAAAAAAAGGGGTATCCAGTATCTAACAAGCTCAATATTTGTAATTTGTATCCCCAAGTTTGTTTGAACTTTCTCATGTCTAATGAACTCTTAAAACTCATCTAGTACTTACTGTAAGGTTAGTACTGGTTTTCTAAGTGTTTTGCATATACTGACTCATCATTATTTCCACTTCGTAGATAAGGAACTACAGCACACAATGATAAAATCCAAGTCACAGATGTTACATGCAAGAGAAGTAAGATACAATTTTGAGAAATCTGACTCCATAGTCCAAGTCTCTCTTAACCCATGTACTGCCTCTGAGTGAGTGCTTACATTGAAATGTCCTTCAGTTGCATTTTGATTTGCGTAAATTAGATTATGACAACATCCATATGGGATACTTGATGACTAAAGCTTTGTCAATTATGAATATATTAAATATTGTTGTAAAGTTTACACTGGAAAATATTAACATTTTCCCTCTGATGTAATCTAGTACCTAGATTTATCTATCCCCAGCATCTAGAATGTGTCTGCCCTAAAGAAGGCCCTCAACAAGCATTTAATTAGGTATAAGCATAATTTGGCATTTCCTCATGACTGCATGGCAACTAAGTACTGAAAGTTGAGCTGGGTCAGCTCTCCATACTACCAGTCCAGTGATCTTTTCCTACATTGCATTGTAAGACAGGTAAAGTAGTGAGGGTGGTTAATTATATTGAAGCCTGTCTTTAAATAGAAGCCAAGAACAGTGCTCTGACAGGTTCTTAACCTGGCATTTATGAATAATGAATATCTGAGAACCCATCCCCTACCTCCTATGAAATACATACAAATTCTGGAGAAGGGGGTGAGTAGGGACCTCCTATGAAACTACATACAAATTCTGGAGAAGGGGGTGAGTAGGGGCAAGGAGTATACTCAGAGCCATGAACTTGGCCAATGTCAGAGCTCACAATCTAAACCAGATTCTCTGGTTTGCAATCCAAAGAGTTCCTTACATTACACAACCCTTTGTTGTTCTATAGCTAATGTTCAAAAAAAAATTTCCACAATAAAGTGCTCAGATAAATTGAAAAATAATTTCTTTAAAAATGGTATATTGTATCCTACAGAGTCCGGTAAATTATAAATCAAACATCAAGACATAGATGTCCTTTGGGCATTTTCTTTGTTTACAATGTCAATTCTGATCAAATACTTCAGTTTGTCTTGACCTAGGAAACAAAATTTGTTAGGGCCCATCACATCCAGGTGAAGCTTCCTGGGGTTGTGCTATATTTTCATCACCAGGACATCAAGGAATAGAGAGTGAAGACTGGGAATTTACATGCACACACATACAGACGCAAGTGGGTGCTAGTCATGGTTGATATTGAAAAGAAGTTTCAAGCTTTGGAAGCAGGTTGAGGGGGGAAGAAGAAACCCTATAGTTTGGAAACCATATAGCACAGTGAACCTGCAGAGTGAGCACTTCAATGGGCCTTTGAAGCCTATTACCACACTCCCTTTCCCTTCTTCCTTTCTCTTCCCTTGAATGAGTCAACCTTACACTTCCTCACATCTTCAGCAACACTTACCTCCAGCTTCCTACACCTACAGCTTGGAGCTGTGAAGCAGAAGTTCAGTGGGATCCTTATAACTATAAGGTGCGTTTACCTTGCTTAATCTCAGGCAAAGTGGGACAACTGCTTCGAATCCTAAACAGCCACATAATTAGCAAGCACCTTTTGGGACTTGATCAAAGTAGAAACCAGAATCCATAACTATTTGAGACCAACATCTCGTTCTGACTGTCGGCTGGAAACCCATATTAAAGCTCTTGATTTAGACTGCCTGACAGCTGAGTCATGAAGACTTGGCTTGCAAAGAGGAGGTTTATTTTTTTTCCCCCTTCAAAGTATTTCTGAAGTCCTCTGAGATCTTGCACACCAGCGGCAGACAGAGTTTCAACACAAGGAACTGGGTCACTGAGTTTCCGAGACACCTATGCCTCAAACCACAAAACAGAACCTCACCTACTTAATACTTCCCTTCTAAATAACAGTAATAGAATTCAGGAGGGTGAATAGATACCTTCAACTTTGTAACAAAGCCCAGACAGCATCAGACCCTCTCTCACTCAACACTTCGAAGGGATTGAGGTTCTCAGATTCTAATTCTGTTTTTAAACAGATTGTTGTTTCGAATCCATCTTTCGAACTCAACCGGGATGGGACGTTGTGTTTCTACCAGTCTTGGGCACTGCTGTCCTGCATACTTCAAGAGCACTAACTGTGGCACTGAAAAGTATTGGGGATGAAAATAATTCAATCCGGAGCGTCAGGACAGCGGGTAGGATGCATGAGCACCAGCTGTGCGCCCCTCCCCACCCCCACCCCCAAACAAAACAAAACAAATCTAATCCCACCCTCAAGGGTCCAGGTAAAGAAAAATGAAATCTCCTGTTTTTAAAGTAGACACAGGGTGGGTTGCACAGACGGTGGGGGGGCAACAGAACTCGGGTTAGGGGAGTTGGAAACGTCCACCGAAGTCGCTGAGCAGGACAGGCATTATTACTCCAGTGCCTCTGAAATCGACACCCCTGGGAGTGAGGCGGCCGCTCTGCTGCGCCCCTGCGATTCGGGGCGGGTTGGGAGCCGCTGGGAGTGCCAGTCTTGCAACTCCCGGTCTCTTTCCTTCCTTTGAAACTGGCGGATTTTCCTTCCTTCCGCTGGAAACCAAAGACCCAAGGAGACGAAAACGCGTAAACAACCGCTCGGCTGGCAGAACCGAGCGCCCCCAGCGGAGCGGGTGCTAGATCCAGCCAATGCACGTTTCTCCTGGCCGGGTGGACAACCGGGCGCCGTCGTTCCTCGGTCGCCTTTGCCCTTGACCCTCCTGATGCCCAGCTGCCAACGTGGGCGCTCGGCGCGTCCCGGCCGGGATCGCCCGCACCGTTGGCAACACGCCTTTGCGCGAGTTTCCACCAGCGTCCCCCAGGGCAGCCCGTCCCCTCCCCCGCCCCGTTAGGGACTGGGTCGCCGACCACTCACTCACCCACCGCCGCCGCGGGAGTCTGGACGCCAAGGCAAGGGGGGCCGTGCCAGGCGACCAGCAGGCAGCAGACCAACGCGCGTAGCAGCGCCATCGCGGCCCGTGGCCACCGCGCTCAAGCGGACGGGCTGTCGGGCTCTTCCAACTCGTGCCGGCAGGCCTGGGGGTGGGGAGGAGACCCGGAAAAAAACTGGAGTGTAGACGCCCAGAGGTCACGTGGGAACGCGGATTCCTTCGCGAATCGCTTTGCCAAAGCTGCAGCAGCTGTTTGCCTGCCAGCCTGCCAGTGATCTGTTCCTCAGTCTCGCAGCATCGATGACGAGCTGGGAAGGAACGTGCCTGGGCTCACCTGGCACCCGTCGCCCTCCCCAAGTGCCACCTAATTTGAAAGTGTCCTTCAAGCGTCCTGCTTGGGACAGAGCAAGCAGTGAGTTGAGAAAGCGCGGTGGATCACGAGTCTGACCCCCGGGGCCAGCACCGTCTGCACCACTGAATTAGTCTAGTTAGAAATGAAATGCGCCTGGCCCCACCCCGCACCACTGAGTCACGGACTGTTGGGAGTGCGGCACCGTCATTCAGTTTTTATAAGTCCTCCAGAAGTTGCCCGAGTGAGGATTTTGTATGAGAACCACAGCGATCAAAGACATTTGCCTTGTCTTTGAGACCTTTGCCTGAGACCTCTCAACTGTATTCTCTGCATTACAAAGACGCACGAAAAGTCGTTAAGTAGAGCCATTTGATTTTACTCTTGGATGAAATTTACAAAGAGATCTAGTTTGCCCTAGAAGGGAGTGTCCCCAAACTGCTAGGCTCTCTATTGCCTCTTATAAAGATGCAATACAGCCACTTAAAAAGAGATGAATATCATTTAAATTGGTGGGGCCTATAGATGAATGTCATTTAAATTGGTAGGGCCTTAGACTTCCTCTAGAGAAAAAAAGCACCCTCCAGAATTATTAATCTCATAAAAAATATGGTAAGGTATATTTATTTCCCACCAGAGAAAACCTGATTTTGTATTGTGTGACATCTGATGGTCAGTATTATTATGAAAGGAGCTTTGAAATGGATTCTCTCTAATGCCCTGCCAGAGCAGTTCAAGTTGTGCCTGGGCTTGAGGATGATTGCAAAGCCTTTCTGAAAATTTGCATGCTTCCCAAACAGCGACAAGATGGTCTTTGTTGTTCCTCAGCCCACCATCTCAAGTCTGAAGCAAAATGGAGAAAGGAAAAAAAAAAAGGAAAGAAAAGAAAAGGAAAAAAATGAGAGAACTGTTTTAAGGACACAGAACTTGTGTGGTTCTAGTCTGAATGGTCAGAAAGACCAGAAGAAAAATTTAAAATTATAAAATTTGAAGCTATCTTTCTGCCTATTTTCAATAAACTAGATGTTCAAGTGGTTATAAAATAAATCTTCTAAGATAGGCATACATATGTTGAATCCTAGAAAATGCTTGCAAACCTAAAATAATAGCATTGAAATCAGTGCATAGGAACATAACCCTCCCTTTCTTACCCTTCTTTTGTTTTGATTTTCTTTATGTTTACTCATTTGATGGGGAGGAGGGGGGTGGCTCGAGGGGCCCCAGGGAGGCACACCTAGCAGTGCTCAAGGCTATCTCCTGACTTTCTGCTCCTGGGACCATATGCAGATGCTGGGGATGTAGCCTGAGTAGGTCACATGCAAGGCAAGTAATCTCCCTCAGGCCCTCTTTTGTTTTCCCTTATATGCCATAAATAACACAGTTCCTTAACATTTCTGGCCCGTAGTTCAACTTTGGGCCTCTATTTTTAAGATCTATATTATTGGCCTATTGGTGAATCTCTCTTTTGAGGGTGACAGTCATTTCTTTTTCTGTTTACTATGTTTGTTTTTAAGGGTGCCTGGATGATTGGGGATGGGGAAGGCAGAGAAAAGTTAGTACATTGACAGATTACTCTTTGAGATAGTATAAGACTTGAAGAAAAATACTTTGTGATTACCAAAATTATGTTAATTATCTTCTCAGAAAACTCATTTAGTCCACTATTCCACTGCAATCCTTCATCTTCTTTGCCCAGTAAACTTTAGACTATCATATAACTTCTCATTCTTTTTTTTTCTTTTTTCAGGGAGAGGGTTGTTATAAAAGTTAATGTCAGCAAGATGTTACTTGTTGTAATTATAATGAGCTAATGCTGAATCCCTATTCTTGGTCTTGTATTTTTAATAGAGAAGTCAGAATGCCTCAAAGGTTGCCAAACATATTTGGTCTACTAGAAAAGCAGATGTGGGAGAAATTGAAGCTGTCTTTCAATGTCATTTCATGCTTTTCAAGACAAAGATAAGCTTAGTAAACCTGTCTAATCTTCGCTGGACATTCAAATGCAAATCCTATAATAATTCAGATGTAAAATTTTGTAATTGTACTTTAGATTTTTCTACTTGTCATTGGGATGCTTAAATATAATCTTCAGGTTATAGTACTGTACAAATCGACAAATCGACATGTTTCCTTAAAGTTTTAGGGGAATGTTAAACTAAGGACTTTCAACTAATAGAAACCTACTAAAATCACTGGAATAATTATAAATATTGAATACTTATCCTGAAAAATATTTACCCCCTTCCCCAGGCACAAAAGATGTCTAAATCTTCAGAAAAATTTTCTAAAGAATATTCAAGAAAAAAATATCTTACATTTTCGTTTCAGAAGAAAACTTGTCTGCAATATTAAAATTTGAGAAGAAAAGGGAAAATTCTAAGGCTAGAAGTTCTTGAAATTATTTACTATTGATAAGATACTGGACATTTATCTTCTATTTCTACATAAAGTGGGTTGGAGCGATAGCACAGCGGTAGGGCGTTTGCTTTGTGCGCAGCCAGCCCGGCCTAGCCAGGTTCGATTCCTCCATCCCTCTCGGAAAGCCTGGCGAGCAAGGCAAAGCCTGGCAAGCTACCCATGATGTATTGCCAAACACAGTAACAACAAGTCTCACGATGGAGATGTTATTGAGCCCCCTCAAGCAAATCGATGAACAATGGGAGGACAGTGCAGTGCTTCTACATAAAGTAAAAAAAGTTTTTTTATATTGTGTTATAAAGAAAGGATATAACAGGCAGTTTATAAATAATGAAAAGCAAAATAACATTTTTTCTACTATTTTGTACTTTATAAATGTAAAGCCCAATCAATTACAGCTTATTTACTTTACTTGGTAAACACACACACACACACACACACACACACACACACAGAGGAATTCAAGGCTTTGCATACTCAATACTCCATTTTAGCATATCAGGAGACAAATTTTTATAATTCAGTCTAATATACTCTTTTCCTATTTACATTTCAATAATAAATGTATGATATTTTAATTATGTATAACTGTAGAATAACATTGGTTGTCCTTTCTCCCTTGCTACAGAGAGCTTAGGTTTTTCGGGTGATACCCATTACAGTGCTCCTGAAGCACCTCTATTCCTCTGTGTTTATTGGAATATAAAAGGTAAAGGTAAAGGCCCTCCCGTTGATCGTCGATTTGCTCGAGCGGGCCCAGTAACGTCTCCATTGGAGACTTTGTTGTTACTGTGTCTGGCATATCGAATACTCTCGGTAGCTTGCCGGGCTCTCCGAGAGGGGCGGAGGAATCGAACTCGGGTCGGCCATGTTGGCCGCGTGTAAGGCGAACGCCCTACCCGCTGTGCTAAACATTTTTCAGATAACATTGGCATGTCCTCTTTCCCTTGCCACAAGGAACTTAGGTTTATTACAGTGCTCTGAGGCACTTCCATTCCATTGTGTTTATCTGTAAACTCTTCCCTATGCTTTCCTCCCCAACCAGTTAATCAGCTTTTCCCCCTAGTAAGACTCTGTTAACTTGTAAGGTCAGATTCCTCAGAGATCTATGATTTTATGTGTATGAGTGAAAAATTGCCTTTATCCTCTCCTTATGTCCTTTGAATAGTTTACTTTAAAGCAATATCCTTTTTCTATAGGTACAGGAAGACAGTTAATATTATGCTTTTGTAACTTGGGATTTAATTGGGTTCGAATATTATTCACTCCGGGGCAACTGCTTCCTCAACTTAAGCCTCAATTGCCTTTAGTTCCTAGCACCCCAAAAGCACAGTCCCGATGAGGGACTAAATGGACCCAGGGCAAACTGTGAGCTACCGTGGCATCAAAATGGGCCAGGCCAAAGTGCCTCGACACTCAACTATAAGTTGAGAGCGTGGTCATGGAAAAATGCTGTCATTACCCAAAAAGTAATGACAAGTTTAGGAACCTGCTAGGAATAGGAAAGACTAATCTGGCCTGAGCACTGTAGTCTGAGATCGAAATGACCCCAGGAGAGCAATTCTATAAGATTAATGTATCTCTTACTGTGTCCATGCAAAATGATTAATATTATGAATTTTTATGTTTGTTGGACTAAGGAGAGAAGAAACACACCCATATTTGCCTTTTGGCCAGTCCTCTTGCTGGATAAGAATCTTTCCTGGAAGTAGCTTCCCCTAAGGGCAGGACCTCACATCCACTGATTTTACCTCAACCCCTCATGATGGGGTATTTAACTAGACTGTAAGAGTGGCCTGGGGGATCCAGATTCCAGAGCCAGAAGGAGAATGAAGAGGGATCAAGGAGAATGAAGTAGCATGGGGGAGGAAGAAGCAGGAGGAGAATCAGAGGAAAATGGAGATGGGAATCGAATAAACTGCAACTGACACCAACCAGCCTGGCCCTCGTTTCCTTCCTTCACCTGCCCATCATCCTCCCTGGCTGGGGTGGAGGAAATGGCCTGAGACTACCGAACATGGGTGGATGGCAGGGAGAGATAGAGCCACTGCCCCTTTTGTGTTTACACATATAACTTTTTTTTTTAATTTTATTGAATCACCGTGAGACATATAACTTTTAAGAATTAATATTATTTTGTAGTTGGAAAGGTGTATAGTAGCTAAGGTACTTGCTTTGCAATCAGCTAACCCACATTCCATCCCCAGAATCTCATTTGACCACCTGAGTAGCCAGGAATGATCCCTGAGCACACAGCCAGGAGTAAGCCCTCAGCACAGCTGGGTGTACTCCCCACCTCCACCCTTTCCTCCCAGCCTGAGGAAAAATAATAACTCATGTTGCTTTGTTTGTTCAGACTGTTTCTAATAAAAG